GCGCTGCTCTACAACAGTTATGGCGCTGCTCTACAACTGTTATGGCGCTGCTCTACAACAGTTATGGCGCTGCTCTACAACAGTTATGGCGCTGCTCTACAACTGTTATGGCGCTGCTCTACAACAGTTATGGTGCTGCTCTACAACAGTTATAGAGCTGCTCTACAACAGTTATGGAGCTGCTCTACAACAATTATAGAGCTGCTCTACAACAGTTATAGAGCTGCTCTACAACAGTTATGGCGCTGCTCTACAACAGTTATGGAGCTGATGCTGAACAAGAACACTTCTTATGGAGAGTTATCATAAGATATCTCAGTGTTATGATAACCTCCCATAACAGTGTTATGGGAGCCCATGGTGGAGCCCCATAAGAGCCCCGTCAGTGGTCTACAACGACACATGTTTTGGAGCTCTGTTATAGATGTTTGTCAGTTGTTGAGGCGAGGGAGGACATGTGTCTAGGGGGGGGGGGACTGAAGAGGGAAAACAGGGGGTAGGGGAGGAAAAGAATATGGAAGGTAAAGGAGGAATAGAAAGTTGACCAGGTGGGTAGGGGAGGTTGGGGGGGGGCGGATGGATGGGGTGGAGGGGTGAAAGGGGTTGGGGGTTGGAGGGGAATATGAGGAGGAGGAGGGGAGGAGGTGGAGGGGATGACAGAGGGAAAGGTGGCCAACAGAGACTCTTTCTCTCTCCTCTCTCTCTCTCTCTCTCTCTGCAGGTTTACCCTACAGTGCAAGGTTTACCCTACAGTGCCAGATTTACCCTACATTGTAAGGTTTACCCTACAGTGCCAGATTTACCCTACAGTGCCAGATTTACCCTACAGTGCCAGATTTACCCTACAGTGTAAGGTTTACCCTACAGTGCCAGATTTACCCTACAGTGCCAGGTTTACCCTATAGTGCCATGTTTCGTAGCTGATAAGATATTCTAAGATTTTTCACAAGTTTTTCAAATATTTGGATATGCTTATATACATTTTTTAGCACATGTATTTATGTATAATGTGATGTATATGTACATCCCGGAACACCATGCACATATGTGGTGCGTATGAGTCGACGCCATGGACGGGTTCGAGGTCCAAATAGCTTATGTCCAGCCCGTCCTCCAAACAAAGATCCAAAAGTTATTCCATCCACCCGCCAAACCCCCTGATTATGAATGAAAAGTGGTTTACACACGACTCACAACTGCTGACGTTCGAACATATCCGGAACAAGTGTTTCACTGAAGAATTTTGTTCGAATCACAACACTATAAATGCTTCACCCACGTACTACAAATACAAATAATCGCCAACAGAACCTACACATCTAACCTAACCTAACCTATGCCTATATATGCACAATATGCTAATATATTATAATATTAATTTATACTTGAGAAAATTCCCGTTTTGAATGAACAGCATATTAAAATTTATGAATGCGTCTGTGGGGTCGACCGCTGGATGTAATGGACTTGAGTCGAGGACGGGATGGAGTGTGTGTGTGTGTGTGTGTATACTTCCCTGGAAGTACTCGTGTAGAAGTACTCACCTAAATGTACTTGCAGGGTCGAGCTAGACTCCTAGCCCCGCCTTCCGAATATTGTTACATTAAAGTAATTACTCATTTCTCACGCTTTTATCATAGTTATATAATAAAAATTTAATCGAATTAACTTCAACGACTTAAAAGTCTATCCCATTCCATTTATTGGCAGCTCTTAACATTGAGAAAGATCTTTATGACGTCTGTAATTAATTTCTATCTCTCGTTTCCTCTATAACCCTTCGTTCTACTGTTCCTATATTTGAACAATGCTGATTTGTGTACTTTGTCAATTTACCTTAGAATCTTATATGTTGTTATCATGTCTCCCCTATCTCCCCTCTGCTCCAGTGTGTTAGGTTCAGTTATCTCTGCATTTCCTCACAGTTCAATCTCTTCAGCTCAGAAACGAGCCTCGTTGCATATCTTTGGACCTTTCCTAGTTTTACCTCGTGCTGAGGGTTCCATGTTGGGAATGTATATTCAAGAACATAAGAACAAGGTAACTCCAGAAGGCCTTTTGGCCCAACCAAGGCAGCTCCTATCTATAACCACCTAATCCCACTCATATACATGTCCAACCCGCGCTTGAAACAATCGAGGGACCCCACCTCCACCACGTTACGCGGTAATTGGATCCACAAATCAACAACCCTGTTACCGAACCAGTATTTACCCAAGTCTTTCCTAAATCTAAACTTATCCAATTGATACCCATTGTTTCGTGTTCTGTCTTGTGATAAGAGTGGATCTTACCTATACTGTGTATATTGTAAATTTGTAAAAAATGAGCCCAGAAAGCCACTTTTGTCCAAGTTTCCCAAGGAATACACGGACGTTAGCCAGCAAGCCGTATGCAGCTGTTGTTATTCTGCTAAATTTAGATTTAGGATAGACTTGGGTAAATACTGGTTCGGTAACAGGGTTGTTGATTTGTGGAACCAATTACCGCGTATGAGTGGGATTAGGTGGTTATAGATAGGAGCTGCCTCATATGGGCCAATAGGCCTTCTGCAGTTACCTTTGTTCTTATGTTCTTATGTTCTATGTCTGGGATCATCCCAGGCGAAAGTTCGAATCCTCATCACGGCCCTTGCGGATTTGTTCTCTATCATGTCACGCCTAATTCTTCGCCTTTCTAGAGAATGTAATTTAAGCTTTGTCAATCTTTCTTCATATGACAGATTTCTAATTTGAGGGATGAACTTTGTCATCCTACGCTGGACGCGTTCTAGTGAATTTATATCCAATCTATAGTACGGCGACCAAAACTGAACTGCATAATCTAAATGGGGCCTAACCAGAGCAAGATATAGCTTGAGAACCACACCAGGTGTCTTATTACTAACGCTTCGATTAATTTATCCCAGTGTCCTATTTGCCTTATTACGAACATTTATGCATTGATTTTTTGGTTTAAAATTCTTACTAATCATAACTCCCAGATCCCTTTCGCAGTCCGACTTCGCAATCTCAACACCATCTAGCTCGTATCTTGTAACTCTATCATCATTACCTAGCCTCAAAATCTTACATTTGTCAGCATTAAATTCCAGCTGTCAATCTTTTGACTATTTCAAAACCCTATTTAGATCGTCTTGAAGTGATAGAGAGTATTTTTCCGTGTTAATTTCCCTCCCGATTTTTGTATCATCTGCAAATATTGCTCCCCAACCCTAAATCTAAATCATTTATATATATTATGAATAACAGAGGTCCCAGGACAGAGCCTTGAGGCACCCCACTTACAACATTTTCCCAGTCTAACTTAACCCCATTTATACTAACTGTTTGCTTCCTTTGGTATAGCCATGCCCTAATCCAATTTAATATAGCACCCCCAATTACCATGAGCCTCTATCTTTTTAATCAGTCTTTCATGTGGCACTGTATCAAAAGCTTTGCTAAAGTCAAGGTACACAACATCGCAAGTCTTACCACTATCAACTGCCTCAACTATGCTGGAATAAAATGATAGCAAATTTGTTAAACATGGACGGCCATTTGTAAGCCCTGTTGTGAATAATTTATTAATTTATGTTTTTTTCAAGATGAAGACGAATGGTATTTGCCAATCCTCATAAGTTTGCATTTGGTTGGGTTAAGCTCTAGCAACCATTTTTCATACCACTACTGGTGCGTGTCCAAATCCGTTAGCAAGGTAACACACTATCTCTGTCCTGTGTGTGTGTGTTTTACCAGTATGATAGAATCTAGAATTTAGTTACCCGGAATTCACAATATATCAATTAAGATCGTTGTTTTTCAGGTATCGCGATGTGTCGCCTACTTTCTCGCCCTGTTTCGCCTAATTCCTCGTCCTGTATGTCACCTCATTCGTGGCCGACAGTGACATCTCGTGGCACTGTAGAAAGCCTCGTCGTCTCCTGTCATTAAGCCCACGTTGGCTTCAAGGTATGTAGGCCAGGAAGGCGGGGCCCGGGAACGTTGTTTAGTGTGTTCCCATATCTTAGCTATTGTCCCTGGCAGGCGGGGAGTGACGGGCCTCACCCCTTTCCCCTGGGCTCCACCCTTCACCACGACGCTCTCTCCTCATCACCTCCTAGAACACGTCTAGAGCGTACTTGGTCCCACAACAGGAAAACAATTCGGAACAAAAAGAGCCGGGAAGGGGAAGCTGATACACTGATTTGTATTATTGAAAATTATATTTTTCTTATGAATACATTTGGCTTCAATAGAGACAAGTGATGATTTGGTGTTTGAGAATCGTTGATAGAATGAACACGAGATGACACCAGGGCCTGATGGCTGAGTGGACAGCGCTCTGGATTCATAGTCCTAAGGTTACGGGTTCGATCCCAGGGGGAGGCGGAAGCAAATGGGCAGAGTTTCTTTCACCCTGATGCCTCCTGTTCACCTAGCAGTAAACAGGTACCTGGGAGTTAGACAACTGCTATCCTGGGGATGTGTAACAAATAGGAGGCCTGGTCAAGGACCGGGCCACGGGGACGTTAAGCCCCGAAATCATCTCAAGATAACCTCTCAAGAAGGTTACATGAGGACTCCCCGGAACTGAGTATTCGGTCATGAAATTAATTGGCACTTGTCAATCATACTGACTTCCCTTTAATCTTAGACAAAGGCCGAGACGATTGTCAGTCATCAGTCAGAGAAGCTTATGAACGTGGCTTTTACAAGTGGCTCAGCCTGTGGAACACTGTGATACTGAGAGATAGAGAGATCAGTCTGTGATCACAGGAGGTCACTGACCCTAATAGGGCCGCCCTCCACGCATAGATCACTGAGTCGCATGGTGGTCATCGGTCCATTTACGTTTCACACCTCCTCACCGCTTAAAATGTCAGTCATTCCTCGTTCTCTCGACATTAGAATCTAATTTAGTGTGGGAATCCGTAGACCAGGACGAGCTCAAGACGTGGCCGCGTTCACACACATTACACCTCAACAAAATACTCAGGGTTCCAGCCAGTCGACGAGATGTCAGTAAGACAAGGAGACTCGTTCCTGAGTCACTGACGTCAAGCGGACAAGGAACGTCCCTGCGAGTCAGATAGACAAGTGGCCCTTTTTCCTGCGAGTCAGGTAGACAAGTGGCCCTTTTTCCTGCGAGTCAGGTAGACAAGTGGCCCTTTTTCCTGCGAGTCAGGTAGACAAGTGGCCCTTTTTCCTGCGAGTCAGGTAGACAAGTGGCCCTTTTTCCTGCGAGTCAGATAGACAAGTGGCCCTTTTTCCTGCGAGTCAGGTAGACAAGTGGCCCTTTTTCCTGCGAGTCAGGTAGACAAGTGGCCCTTTTTCCTGCGAGTCAGGTAGACAAGTAGGCCTTTTTCCTGCGAGTCAGGTAGACAAGTGGCCCTTTTTCCTGCGAGTCAGGTAGACAAGTGGCCCTTTTTCCTGCGAGTCAGGTAGACAAGTGGCCCTTTTTCCTGCGAGTCAGGTAGACAAGTGGCCCTTTTTCCTGCGAGTCAGGTAGACAAGTGGCCCTTTTTCCTGCGAGTCAGGTAGACAAGTGGCCCTTTTTCCTGCGAGTCAGATAGACAAGTGGCCCTTTTTCCTGCGAGTCAGGTAGACAAGTGGCCCTTTTTCCTGCGAGTCAGATAGACAAGTGGCCCTTTTTCCTGCGAGTCAGGTAGACAAGTGGCCCTTTTTCCTGCGAGTCAGGTAGACAAGTGGCCCTTTTTCCTGCGAGTCAGGTAGACAAGTGGCCCTTTTTCCTGCGAGTCAGGTAGACAAGTAGGCCTTTTTCCTGCGAGTCAGATAGACAAGTAGGCCTTTTTGTGTTTTATCTCGTCTATGCGTGCCGTATATGTTCTCTGTATTCCCTCTATTTCAGCAATTTCTCCTGCTCTGAAGGGGGAAGTGAGTACTGAGCAGTACTCGAGACGGGACAACACAAGTGACTTGAAGAGTACAACCATTGTGATGGGATTCTTGGATTTGAAAGTTCTCGTAATCCATCCGATCATTTTTCTGGCTGACGCAATATTTGCTTGGTTATGCTCCCTAAACGTTAGGTCGTCGGACATCATTATTCCCAAATCCTTTACATGTTGTTTTCCTACTATGGGCACATTTGATCGTGTTTTGTACCCTATATTATGTTTAAGGTCCTCATTTTTACCGTACCTGAGTACCTGGAATTTATCACTGTTAAACATCATGTTATTTTCTGTTGCCCAATCGAAAACTTTATTAATATCTGCTTGAAGTTTTTCAATGTCTTCAGCCGAGGTAATTTTCATGCTGATTTTTGGGTCATCTGCAAAGGATGATACGAAACTGTCACTTGTATTTTTGTCTATATCTGATATGAGAATAAGGAAAAGCAGCGGTGCAAGGACTGTATATGTACTGCCGAAGCGAGTACCTTGAGGTACCGAGCTTTTAACTGCGCTTGGACTCGATTTTATATGATTGACTGTTACTCGCTGAGTCCTGTTTGACAGAAAACTGAGTATCCAGCGTCCTACTTTACCGGTTATTCCCATTGACTTCATTTTGTGTGCTATCACTCCATGGTCACATTTATCGAAAGCCTTTGCGAAGTCCTTATATACCACATTCAGCATTCCAGTTTAAGTGAGGGGTCTGCTAGTCCAGGTGAGGGGTCTGCTAGTCCAGGTGAGGGGTCTGCTAGTCCAGGTGAGGGATCTGCTAGTCCAGGTGAGGGATCTGCTAGTCCAGGTGAGGGATCTGCTAGTCCAGGTGAGGGGTTTGCTAGTCCAGGTGAGGGGTCTGCTAGTCCAGGTGAGGGATCTGCTAGTCCAGGTGAGGGATCTGCTAGTCCAGGTGAGGGATCTGCTAGTCCAGGTGAGGGATCTGCTAGTCCAGGTGAGGGATCTGCTAGTCCAGGTGAGGGATCTGCTAGTCCAGGTGAGGGGTTTGCTAGTCCAGGTGAGGGGTCTGCTAGTCCAGGTGAGGGATCTGCTAGTCCAGGTGAGGGATCTGCTAGTCCAGGTGAGGGATCTGCTAGTCCAGGTGAGGGATCTGCTAGTCCAGGTGAGGGATCTGCTAGTCCAGGTGAGGGATCTGTTAGTCCAGGTGAGGGGTCTGCTAGTCCAGGTGAGGGGTCTGCTAGTCCAGGTGAGGGGTCTGCTAGTCCAGGTGAGGGGTCTGCTAGTCCAGGTGAGGGCGGGCCACTAGTCTAGGTGAGAAGGCCCACTGGTCCAGGTGATGGGGGGGGGGATGCCAGAATGACCAGCCAGAATGACCCTGGTCACAATGTGTCATCCAGGCTGGTCAACACACACAAGTACCAGGCTGGTCAACACACACCTCGTAGCCTAGGGGGCCTCGTAGCCTGGTGGATAGCGCGCAGGACTCGTAATTCTGTGGCGCGGGTTCGATTCCCGCACGAGGCAGAAACAAATGGGCAAAGTTTCTTTCACCCTAAGTGCCCCTGTTACCTAGCAGTAAATAGGTACCTGGGAGTTAGTCAGCTGTCACGGGCTGCTTCCTGGGGTGTGTGTGTGTGTGTGTGGTGTGGAAAAAAAAAAAAAAAAAAAAAAAAGGTAGTTAGTAAACAGTTGATTGACAGTTGAGAGGCGGGCCGAAAGAGCAAAGCTCAACCCCCGTAAAAACACAACTAGTAAACACACAAGTACCAGGCTGGTCAACACACACAAGTACCAGGCTGGTCAACACACACAAGTACCAGGCTGGTCAACACACACAAGTACCAGGCTGGTCAACACACACAAGTACCAGGGTGTGCCGCTGATAGCAAATAAATATTACTGGCCATTTACCCCAGAGTCAGTACACGAGGTCATCCCGGACAGGCCCCCAATACCATCTCACTATAGCCCGCGCTACGTGGACATTGTGTTCTGAGTAGCTGAATCTAAAACAACTACACCAACTCACCGGAGGGCTCTCTCTCACCACGCACCTGACCTGCTGTAAGTGTGTTGCCACTATTGCAGTACGTCTCCAGAACTGATGTTGTGTACAGTTTGAGACCGGATACTTAAGTAAATTTATTGACTTCTATTTCATAAGCTGGTGAGAATGGGGACTGTGAAACACCTCCCCAAAACAAGAGGCACATATAAATAGCATGAGCTGCATATTCTAATTTGATGAACATCAGAACAGCCTTCAGGAAACTCAACAAGGAGGCACTCAGAGCACGTTTACATCACCTACGTGAGACCAGTCCTATGATATGCAGCCCCATCATAAAGTTTAAACCTCGAAATGCACATAAGGGAACTGGAAGAGGTACAGAGATTTGCAAAGCTTATTCGACAATTACTGTGATGGTGTACGAAGAAAGGGTGAAGGAATAAGACAAAAACTTGGTTAAAAATAGGGAGAGGAGACATGCTACAGACGTGTAAAATACTTTGGGAATAAACAGGATACGAAAAGAGGAAGTGTTCACTGTGACTACAGATAGGACAAGAGGGCAGGTGTAAAGTTTGTGACCGTAGATAGATTAGTCATACCGATGTTATAAACTTTTCTTTGGTGTAAAATCATTTGGAAATGCAATGAGTTAGATGAGTAAGTATAACAAGGCAATTTCATCCCTAATTTCAAAAGAAGATATGATAGAAATTTTGATCAGTAGTCATGTCATTAGACAAGTATCGGCTGAATAGGGTACTTGAGATGAAGCGTGAGTCTACAAGGCCTAAGAGGTGAGGACACAAGAGCCGCTGGGTGAGGATTTACACAGGTTATCAAACCGCAGAACAAGCGGGAAGTTCTACGGGCTCACCATAGCCCGTGCTACTTGGAACTTTTTGTTCCAAGTAGCGAATCTTAAACAACAACAAGAAGCGGGAAGGCAGTGTAGTGACCAGGACACACCACTAAGCCATTATGACCATATAAAACTTAGGTCGGTGGACTCTACCTTCCTTGACTGCCAACAATCTGTTGACACACTACCTGGTGAGAAATTGCAATATAGGCTGGACAACTGGTAGTGATAACTGTGCAAGTGGTGAACTAGACCAGAGAGTACCTAGCTGACAGGAAACAGAGAACCACACTTCCCAGATAGGAATCAAGTATCAGTTCTCTAACCTACGCCCATATTTGGTACGCATATATAGCCTAACAACAGAAGTAAACTTAGGCATGTCTAATTTCAGTAATTTTGCAAAGCTAAAGAGAACTTGAACTGAGTGAGGACTGTAGGTTGCTCCTGGCTGACTGATGAGAAGAGGTCTTGGTCAGAGTAATACCTATTCCAATGTGTGTTTGTGTTCACCTTAGACATGATATGAAGTAGTGTAGAAGGGCGCATGTCATGGTATTCAATTTGGTGTCTATTGACATCCCAGACTCAGGATATAACGGGGGTCTGACCCTTAGTAGGTCAGGAGCTGCTGGGACCTCTTTGTCTTCCTCTTCCTCCTCCTGCTGAATGGTTGCGCCATAAAGCCTATTTCAAAAATACTTATCTCCTTTCTTCCTTCTTATGCTCCTTTTTCACCACCAACTACCTCCTATTCCACCTCTGTCCTTCCTCACCCTCCCTCCCTCCCTCCACCCCCTGGTCCCTCGTAGCGTCAGGGGCTTCCCCCCCCCCCCCCCTGGACCCCAACACCGTCTCCGGCCCCGGCGTCACGCCCGGCAGCGTGTCCCAGTAAAAGTAAGAGTGAAGCCATCAACAGCAATTACGTTTAATGTTTTGTGCCTGGCATCCTTGCTGGGGCGTGACAGCTTAACATCACGAGGGGAAAGCTGCCGTGAAGCAAGACACTATCCCGAGTGTACTCGCCTGCATGTTCCTGCCTTGACGCGCCTGCAGCGCCTCCCTTGTCTCTTGCTAGGGCTTCTGACGCTCATCTTCCTCATCGTGCCTTCTCGTGCAACGGTGTATGGAGTCTGTGCAGGCGATGAGTCACAATAACGTGGCTAAATTGTGTTGACCAGACCACACACTAGAAGGTGAAGGGACGACGACGTTTCGGTCCGTCCTGGACCATTCTCACGTCGATTGTGAGAGTCTCAAGTCTCACAATCGACTTGAGAATGGTCCAGGACGGACCGAAACGTCGTCGTCCATTCACCTTCTAGTGTGTGGTCTGGTCAATATGGAGTCTGTGTCAACTGTACCTCATTCCACTTTGTTCAGTACTCTTACGATAAGTGTCTCGTGGTTCATTTTGAATTTTACTTCCCACCCATTCCATTTGTACATCACTCATGTTGAGAGTATAGCACCAATAATTTTTATTTTACCATTAGCTAACGTCATAGCTCAGACGTCTAGGTTCAAGAACCAGTCTTGTAACAGACCTTTACACTTTGATTATTTAGATGGAGAGTTCGAGGTATTGTTGAATGTTGTAGCAGTGTACACCATGCCTAGGGGAGCCGGTCGGCCGAGCGGATAGCACACTGGGCTTGTGATCCTGTGGTCCCGGGTTCGATCCCAGGCGCCGGCGAGAAACAAAGGGCAGACTTTCTTTCACCCTATGCCCCTGTTACCTAGCAGTAAAATAGGTACCTGGGTGTTAGTCAGCTGTCACGGGCTGCTTCCTGGGAGTGGAGGCCTTGTCGAGGACCGGGCCGCGGGGACACTAAAGCCCCGAAATCATCTCAAGATAGCTTAGTGCCTGGCGTCACACAATGGCTGCACGGCCTTGTTCCCGCTGTTGTGTGTCCTCTCTCCACCATCCAAGATTTTGTGGTTAACAGATTTTCAATTAGAAGTTTGAATTTAGTAGTCAAAATGTCATGTTTATATATATATATATATATATATATATATATGTATATATATATATATATATATATATATATATATATATATATATATATATATATATATATATATATATATACACACATATATATATATATATATATATATATATATATATATATATATATATATATATATATATATATATAGTTTTGTTTAAGTTATTACAATACTGTAGTGTTGAAAATGTTTGTGGTGTGATATTGAGGAGACGGAAGGTGAGGCTCCCTCACCACGGTGTTGGTGTAGCCGTGACGCAGTCTGCGTGACGCTCTGCTTCACGCTTACATCTAGTGTGTAACTATCGCGTGACACCCAGTCTCGGGCACCCATTGGTGGCACACTGGTGTGACTGGACCAGTTAGTGCCAGTCAGCGTGTCTACCTGAGCCCCACCCTGGTCGTGTTGGCACCAGCCCGAGTGGTGCCAAATGAGCCTCAGAGATACAATAGATAACGTTATCAGTGTCACGTTATAAGTGTCACGTTATAAGTGTCACGTTATAAGTGTCACATTATCAGTGTCACGTTATCAGTGTCATGGTGATCAAATGCACTAAGACATTTAAGTAATAGAAGTTAACCCAATATACAGTCCAGGTGAGTTACGAACCTACTCTCCAGTTCTTTGAAGGATGAGAGACGGGCTGAGGAGCTGAAGCTCAACCCACACGAACACAATTGGGTAAGTGACAAGCAGGAGGCTAAGAAGTGGAGCCCCTCAAGGACTGATCCTTGGTTCCGTGCTCTTTATTGCCCTAATAAAGAGCTTAGTAAAGAAATAAATGTCAAGCATTTAGAAACTTTATTAATTACTGGAAATTAGACGGAAAAACTTGCCCCAAGGCCGGCTGCTTCAATATTCAAGGAGACTTAAACAAGTTCATTTTCAGAGACGAGGAAAATTAATTTCAGTGCAGATTAATGTACTACTGTAATGTACATTATTAATGTACTGTAATGTACATTACTATATAATTTGTATTTGTCTTTTCATTAAAAACATTTTTATTACAAGTTAGAGGTACAAAGAGCATATACAGCTAGCTTGAGGGATTCGCTCACAGATATTTCAGAACCCGGGTTGTGTAGTCGAGAAAACTTGACTTGCATCCGGTTTACGTAAAGCTAGGAGTGCTCTGGAGGTGTCTTGGAGGGTTCTTAAAGAGTCTCTGCGTCTGTAAACAGTTTGTTGAATCACGGCGTAACCGCCAAGAACGCGATTAACCAGAAACATTTGCTAAGTACTTGCATAACAGTTTAATGAATCCGGTCCCTGGTTCACAGACTGATCCACCTTCATAATAAACCCAGTATCAAAATTACTTAGAAATATCTATCATGTACCTCTGTAGTCATTGTGTAATACTTGTTATTTACTGACCTTTGACTCAAGAATGAGCTTCAGTCAGGGGAAAAAAAGTAGTTTTTCCCTGACTTTTTCCCGGAAAGTTCATTCCTGAGCTTCGGAGGACAACCGCCTTGTAGCAGCACAATATATGGGCTGGAGGCCTCATCCGTTGGTACAAAGGTCCGTAACGCTATGCGTACTAGTGACTTTAGGTATTGTATGTACTAACTCTATCTATAAATCCAACATTATGTTTCTAAATCAACTATGTATGTACTTTTCCTGAATAACAAATTTATTTATTTATTATTATAGAGAGAGAAACAGGTAGAGAGACACAATGACACGGAAAAATATATTAAGAGACTGAGAGCTAGATTCAGAGACAGAATGAGTGTGTGAAAGAAGGAATAAATGAATGAATGAAATAGACATTGATCTAGTGTATAACATTTCTATATTTCAGCCATTCTCCTTAAATGATAGTACTTATCGCAACTATTTGCTCCAACGTACAAATACGTACTGTTTGACCTCACATTTTGTTAATTGTTAAAATTTGACAAAATTTGTAAAATGTTAAAATTAACATTTTGTTGAACTGCATTAGCACAAATAACATTCTAGAAAATTTGAAATATTACCGAAGACCCTAACCTAACCTGTTCAAGCAATCCTAGACTTAATATATACGCTGTTTTAGGCCTAAAATATAGCGCATATATGTGTGCTGCACTTTTACTGATTTTGAACTTTTTCTCACCATCTACAAACTTGATAGTATAAAATGTGAACTTTTTTGGAGGCAGTTCAACTGCACGTATTGGAACGTTCGAACAAGTAGTTTTTAAAAGTTCATTTTAGGAAAACCGGGTAATTATTTCTAGAGGGAGAACGATAGAATGAGGCGGTTTATTGCTAATTACAGAAAAAACTGTTGGGGTTTAAGTGTGAGGTTTTCCGCAACACCCGGACAACAGATTAACATTTTGTTCAAACACAAAAACTCCGTCATTACCTGTGAGGCAACGGTCGTTAGATGAGGAAGGTGAGGAGAGAGTTGCGCGGCCCCTTCCCGCCGGCGCGCGCGTGCGCACATGCAAACACACACACACACACACACACACACACACACACACACACACACACACACACACACACACACACACACACACACACACACACACACACACACACACACACACACATATACACACACACACACACACACACATGCGTGTGTGTGATCCACATAAACACGCCTTCCTAGCCAGACGACCCCGATGGCTAGAAAGGCGGGATCCAAGAGTCATTGCTCGATCCTGCAAGCACAAATAGGTGAGTACACGCGCGCGCGTGTGTGCTGGGGGGGGGGGGCTGACAGCTGAGTGGACAGCGCTTCGGATTCGTAGTCGTGAGGTTCCGGGTTCGATCCTCGGTGGAGACGGAAGGAAACAAATGGGCCAACCCGTCATCAACTCAAGTCCATTACATCCAGCGGTCGACCCCACAAACGCATTCATAAATGTTAACATGCTTTTCATTCAAAACAGGAATTTTCTCAAATATAAATAAATATTATAATATATTAACATATTATGCATATATAGGCATAGGTTAGGTTAGGTGTTTAGGTTCTGTTGGCGATTATTTGTATTTGTAGTACGTGGGTGAAGCATTTACAGCGTTGTGGTTCGAACAAAACTCGTCAGTGAAGCACTTGTTACGGAAGTGTTCGGGCGTCAACAGTTGTGAGTCGTGTGTAAACCGTTTTTCATTCATAAACAGGGAGTTTGGCGGGTGGATGGAATCACTTTTGGGTCTTTGTTTGGAGGACGGGCTGAATGGGCAGAGTTTCTTTCACCCTGATGCCCCTGTTACCTAGCAGTAAATAGGTACCTGGGAGTTAAACAGCTGCTACGGGCAGCATTCCGGGTATGTGTGTGTGTGTGTAAGAGAAAAATATATGTATTAAATATGATAGAGGAAAAATAGGTCGGCAGTCAGAACAATCGACAACTGACGGTTTAGAAGGCGGGGTCCAAGAGCTAACAGCTGGATGCTGCAGGCACAAATAGTAAATACAAGTACTAAATCCTATAACGTGAGACATAATTAGGAAGAACTTTGACAAATTAAAAGGCTCAAAGTCCTCAGGTGTTAAAGAGATCCAGTCCAAAGTCGTAAAGGAACTGCCAGATGGTCGATGTCTACAACTGAAATTCCTTTTCAGAAAATCTGTGGACCAAGGAATAATTTCCCTATATTGGAAATATGCAAATGTCATCCCTATTTTCAAAAAAAGGCAGAACGAGCTCAGTAGAAAACTGTGGTCCGATCAGTTTGACCTCGCACATTTTTTTTCAGGGATATTCCTACGCGGGCCCTAAGCCTCTGGCTGGCCCACTAAGTGTTGATTGTTTCTGTTTTACTTGGGCGGAGTATGAGTATTTATGACTCGTATGGTCGCTTCAGTAAGATTTTGCCATATGTGTGTAACAACTTCTGCTCTGTTGAATCTAAGTTGAAATCTTAATGGGTTTGTAACTCTGCACTGTGTTAGATAATGCTCCAGTCGGGCATTTCTCCACAGTGCTGACATTTCCTCTCATCTTCCGGGACATCATCTCTTCTGTGAACTTCTTCCACACATCTGCAAGCTCACGGAGAGAATCCTAAGGAAACGGTTACCAGGCGACCTGCTTCTCTGTACAATCATCTTATCAGTCTGAGTTTCTCGTCGGCTGAAGACGGTCTCTCCTATGTCCGTCCTCTCTCTTGCACTCATTCCTGCTAGTCTAAACTATTGCTTTTCACATAACACGACCTTACTACTACTACTATGATTATTATTATTATTATTATTATTATTATTATTATTATTATTATTATTATTATTATTATTATTATTATTACTACTATTATTATCCTCATCACGGCTCCTACGATTTTTCTCATCATTAATATTATTATAATGTGCAGAACCTTTTAGAAAGATGCCCCTTGTAAACACCCTCTGACGACGTGTCTCCCGCAGGAGTAGCCAACAAGATGAGCGCCTCTGCCGGACGTTCCCGTGGAGACAGAGAGTACCAAGGAGACCAGGAGCTGAGATCCTCTCCCGGCGGCGACACCTGCAGGGGCGTCTCTGCTAGATACACCCTTGAGGAAGGTTAGTGCTCTGGGGACCACTGCTCTTGGCTGAAAATATCAATAGTAAATACACACTATATATATATATATATATATATATATATATATATATATATATATATATATATATATATATATATATATATGCGTGCGAACAAGCCTGAATGGTCCCCAGGACAATATGCAACTGAAAACTCACACCCCAGAAGTGACTCGAACCCATACTCCCAGAAGCAACGCAACTGGTATGTACAAGACGCCTTAATCCACTTGACCATCACGACCGGACATAATGAGGTGATAGCCGAGGCTATTTGAACCACCCCACCGCCGGCACTCGGATAGTAATCTTGGGCATAGCATTTTACCAAATGACCTCATTCTTTGGGGCACACGTGAGGAACACAAATGCGAACAAGCCTGAATGGTCCCCAGGACAATATGCAACTGAAAACTCACACCCCAGAAGTGACTCGAACCCATACTCCCAGAAGCAACGCAACTGGTATGTACAAGACGCCTTAATCCACTTGACCATCACGACCGGACATAATGAGGTGATAGCCGAGGCTATTTGAACCACCCCACCGCCGGCACTCGGATAGTAATCTTGGGCATAGCATTTTACCAAATCACCTCATTCTTTGGGGCACACGTAAGGAACACAAATGCGAACAAGCCTGAATGGTCCCCAGGACAATATGCAACTGAAAACTCACACCCCAGAAGTGACTCGAACCCATACTCCCAGAAGCAACGCAACTGGTATGTACAAGACGCCTTAATCCACTTGACCAATGGTAAAATGGTAAAATGGTAAAAATACTATGAATATATATATAAAAATATATATAATAAATATATAAATATATATATATAATAATATATAAAAATATAAAATATTGGTAAAATGCTATGCCCAAGATTACTATCCGAGTGCCGGCGGTGGGGTGGTTCAAATAGCCTCGGCTATCACCTCATTATGTCCGGTCGTGATGGTCAAGTGGATTAAGGCGTCTTGTACATACCAGTTGCGTTGCTTCTGGGAGTATGGGTTCGAGTCACTTCTGGGGTGTGAGTTTTCAGTTGCATATTGTCCTGGGGACCATTCAGGCTTGTTCGCATTTGTGTTCCTCACGTGTGCCCCAAAGAATGAGGTGATTTGGTAAAATGCTATGCCCAAGATTACTATCCGAGTGCCGGCGGTGGGGTGGTTCAAATAGCCTCGGCTATCACCTCATTATGTCCGGTCGTGATGGTCAAGTGGATTAAGGCGTCTTGTACATACCAGTTGCGTTGCTTCTGGGAGTATGGGTTCGAGTCACTTCTGGGGTGTGAGTTTTCAGTTGCATATTGTCCTGGGGACCATTCAGGCTTGTTCGCATTTGTGTTCCTCACGTGTGCCCCAAAGAATGAGGTGATTTGGTAAAATGCTATGCCCAAGATTACTATCCGAGTGCCGGCGGTGGGGTGGTTCAAATAGCCTCGGCTATCACCTCATTATGTCCGGTCGTGATGGTCAAGTGGATTAAGGCGTCTTGTACATACCAGTTGCGTTGCTTCTGGGAGTATGGGTTCGAGTCACTTCTGGGGTGTGAGTTTTCAGTTATATATATATATATATATATATATATATATATATATATATATATATATATATATATATATATATATATATATATATATATATATATATATATATATATATATATATATATATATATATATATATATATATATATATATATATATATATATATATATATATATATATATATATATATATATACACACACACACACACACACAATATATTTTTATTTAACTTCACAATGACGTGATCTAGATAAGTTTATGTATTGCATTGATGTATTGTTTTGTGGTATTGTCTAGAGCAAGTAAATTAGTCATGGAATATGATCATGATGCTCGTCAATTCACAATAAGTCATTAGTGGTTAATATATTACGCCTAATGAATATTTGTACTGAGAATGTCCCACCCGTTCTTCCCTCCCTAAGCTCAGCAGATAAAGTTCACTTCAACCCGGCCTCAGGCTATGCACGTTCATGCGGCGGCCCATCTCAATAACCCATTTATCAATTATTGTGTATTGTGTATTTAAAATCTGTATTTTCTTAAACTGGACTTTAAGAATGCCTTCAACATGGTCAGAAGAGAGGCAATGCTTTGTGCCATACATCGCGATTTCTGGCCCCTCTACCCGCTCATACTATCGTGCTACAGTGGTGAGTCAAAATTGCTCTTTGACGAACACAAAATCAGATCATGTGAAGGTGTTCAGCAAGGTGATCCGCTAGCTCCTCTTCTTTTCTGCTTAGTCTTCAAAGAAATCACAGAAAGCTTGTCCAGCGAGTTCAACATCTGGTTTTGGATTATGGCACTATAGCTGGCACCGTAGACCACCTCTTGGAAGACATCAGAAAAATAAGGGAGCAAGAAGTAAGCTTGGGTCTCTTCCTGAACCCCTTCCAAGTGTGAAGTAGTCTCCTCCAACCCAAACATCATAACTAGAATAAGGTCTGCCTTGCCTGGAGCTCATATCATTAGGGCTGAGAACAGCACTCTCCTTGGAGCCCCCCTCGGGTCTAACGCCCTCGGGTCTAACGCCATTTTCCTTGATAAGAAAATCAGAGACCTCAGGAGGATGGAAGAGAGGATAGGTGACAACGAGGCCCACGATGCTTTATATCTCCTCACTAAATGCCTATCCCTTCCGAGGCTAACCTACTCTCTGAGGTGCGCCCCATCCTACGACAACCCAAAACTTGAAGAGTATGACCTATTATTGAAGACCATGCTAGAAAAAGTTCTTAACCTCTCCCTCAACGAATGCCAGTGGAAACAAGCCACTCTTCCTGTCAGGCTCGGCGACTTGAGTGTCCGCACCGCCACCCAAATTGCTGTCCCAGCCTTCCTGTCTTCCTCCTCAGCATCAGATGACCTGGGTAAGGAAATTCTACCTGACAACCTGTGTGACTTAGCAGGGATACAGGACTCCCACTACACAGAATGCGACACAAAGTGGGGTACCATGGCAGACCCAGCACTCAGACCAGTCATGCCGACAGCCAAGAAACAATCCAGCTGGGACAGTCCCATTGTAGACAAAAAAGTCACAGCTTTGCTGGAGGCAGCAACAACCCTCCAGTGATCGTGCGTGCACGCCTCACAGCTGTGCAGGCTCCTCATGCAGGGGACTTCCTTTTGGCAGTCCCTATGTCTGCGACAGGCACACGTCTTGATCCGCAGGAGCTCCGTATTGCAGTCGCTCTCCGCCTTGCTGCCCCTATCCACACTGTTCATAGGTGTATTTGTGGCGAGGCAGATGCTGACGAATATGGATTGCATGGCCTGCGCTGTGGAAAATCTGGCGGTTGGCACTCTAGGCACGACAAAGTCAATGACATCATTAAGAGAAGTCTTGCCTCTGCCCAGTGTCCAGCAGAGAGAGAGAGAGCCCTACAATCTATTGAACCGTGACTCTGTTAGCTTTGCCGGCCGACCAGACGGAACCACTGCGCCCTTGGAAGGGTGGCAGACAGTTGGCGTGGGACTATACTTGCTTATCCACCCTGGCAACCACATACATCACCCTCTCTGCCGGCCAAGCAGGAGCCGCAGCAACACACAGAGAAAGATACAAGTCAGCCAAGTACAGGGAATTAGATCATTGGTACAACTTCGTTCCAATAGGATCTGAGACCCTAGGTCCATGGGGAGAGAGTGCAAGAAGGTTTCTTAAGGATCTTGGTTCCAGGCTTATTGACACTACAAGAGACCCTAGAGCAGCAAGTTTTCTCTTCCAGCGCCTCAATGTCGCGATCCAGAGGGGGAATGCCCGCTGCATCCTCGGTTCCTGCCCAGCGTCGGAGGAGTTCCAATCAGGGTTTTACGCAATTCCACGTAAATAAAATAGTTTACGTGTAATGAAGTAAGGACGAAGAGGTAGAACAGCCTATTGACATAGCTCGGGTGCATGGGGGGAATTGCGTAAAACCCTGGTTTGTGTCTCGGAGAGGCTGCAGGATCCGTTGGTAAATCAGGATGATTTCCCGGTTGCAATTCTTTTATGTCGTAGCTCAGTCGATTAAGGCAGCGTCTGGGATCCTCACGGATGTAGGTTCGAACCCTCGTCACGGCCCCTGTGGATTTGTTCATCTGATGCATCACGCTATTGTGATTTCTGCGTCCCATGTATATATATAATGGTAAGTTATTTGGTTAATAATAATAAATTATTTGATTAATGGAATGTCTGCAATAATTAATCTAATTACAGTGGTCGTGACGTGTGGTCAAGAAGAGCCCGTCCTCGACTTCGAGAACCCAGAGTCCCCAGCCCAGGACAAGAACAAGTCATGCCAGGTGACCCTCGAGTGTGGTGTTCCAAGGTGTCAAGTTAGGTCAGGAAATGTATAAACAACTTAGTTATACTTTAACAGTGTTCGTTTTCTGTATTAAAAAAATCTATGATAGTTTTCTTTGTACTTTTAATGTTTAGGGGCAACTGAACTGAAATTCTCACACTACTGCCTAATGTTTATAAACCGAGAGATGTTCCCTGCGTTTGACGGGAGACATCTCCCGTCACGCAGGGTGCAGTCGCACCTCCACAGATCTCCAGTATCAGCTCTTGATACTGGTAATGACTCAAAAGGGCCACCACTTACGGGCTATTCATGCCCGTGCCATCTTTTGGGTGGCTTAATCTTCATCAATCAATCAATCCCTGCGTTTATATTACATGTGGACTGTGTTCAAGAGTAAAGTATACCTGCCGGCTGGTAAGTCAGTTAATGTTGCACCTTAATAATCCTCTAGAGATTAAGCCCAACACTAAACACATAAATATTATTTTTATTTCATTACAGATATATAAGAGTTGTTACATTCTTGTAAAGCCACCAGCACGCATAGCGTTTCCGGCAAGTTCTGAATCCTATGTTCCCCTGAATACGACCCGCCAAATCGTCTAACAACCGAGTACTCATTTTACTGTTGAGTTAAACAGAGTCTACAGTTAAGGATTGGCGTCCAGTAAATCCTCCCCGTCCAGGATACGAACCCATTAGCTTATATTTTAGCCCTATATTAGCTTATATTGAGGTGCCCCTCAGGGACGGACTAGTGACTAGTGCCCCTCCGGCCTCCACCAGGGACGGTCTGATGGGGAGAAAGGGAGGGTGCAGAAGTCATTCATGGCCGGAAGGAGAAAGAACGGTGAACTAGAGGCCATAAATGGCGGCCAGGGAGTGATAGTGACCATTAATAATAATAATAATAATAATAATAATTTTGTTCACTAAAAGGTATAATGGGATGATGAGATTACATAAGATTGGTATTTGTACATTCTTGCAGCACCACTAACACGGCGCTGCAGGCGCTGATGATTGCTCACATCTAAGATATGATTGGTCACATCTAAGATATGATTGATCACATCTAAGACACGATTGATCACATCTAAGACACGATTAATCACATCTAAGACACGATTGATCACATCTAAGACATGATTAATCACATCTAAGACACGATTGATCACATCTAAGACATGACTGATCACATGTAATGTTCACTAGAGAGAGAGAAGGGAAGAAGACAACGCCTGCTGCTCCAGGAAGGGCGCCTCACCACCACAAGTGTCCATGGTGTCTCTGACGCCGCTGGTGGTAGAGCGTGATGTACTGGTTAGCACTCTCGGTCCTCGCCTTGCATGCAAAACAATCCAGGATCGAACCCTGGGAAGGGAGAATTTGGCATTGTTCCTTCACTGTTCTCGCTCCTCGTTAGGCACCCAGCAGTAATTAAGGACAGAGATGTGTACTGTTTAGCGGACCGTGTTGTTAGGGTAAAGCAGCCAGTGTGAGGCTTGAGATGTGCTGTGGCATGAAGAACTCTTGGCCTGCATGCAGCAAATGAAAGCCTCTGCTCTTGCAACTCTGCAGTGCAAGATAAACGAATTGTTTGTCAACAAGGCAATGCAGCCATTACGACGCCTGACTGAACCCAAGCCTTCCTTATAAAGCTTCACACTGATATGTACGTCACTGTTCAGCAAGACTGTGTATTTGTTTGTCTGCCTGAATGTGTGTGTCCCCATGTCAGGGACCCTGGCCCTGACAAGGGTCAGGGCCAGGATACAAGGGTAAGGAGAAGGGTACAAGGGTCAGGGCCAGGATACAAGGATAAGGACAAGGGTACAAGGGCCAGGGTACAAGGGTCAGGGCCAGGGGTACAAGAGTCAGGGCCAGGGTCAAGGGGTCAGGGCTAGGGTACAAGGGTCAGGGCTAGAATACAAGGGTCAGGGCCAGGGTACAAGGATCAGGGCCAGGGTACAAGGATCAGGGCCAGGGTGCAAGGGTCGGGGCCAGGGGTACAAGGGTCAGGGCCATGGTACAAGGGTTAGAGCCAGGATACAAGGGTCAGGACCAGGATACAAGGGTCAAGGCTAGCGGTACAAGGGTCAGGGCCAGGATACGAGGGTCAGGGCCAGGATTCAAGGGTCAGAGCCAGGATACAAGGGTCAGGGTCAGGATACAAGGGTCAATGCTAGGATACAAGAGTCAGGGCCAGGGTGCAAGGGTCAGGGCCAGGATACAAAGGTCAAGACCAGGATACAAGGGTGAGGGGCAGGGTACAAAGGTCAGGGTGCAAAGGGTCAAGGCCAGGATAGAAGGGTCAGGGTCAGGGCCAGGGTACAAGTGCCAGGACCAGGATACAAGGGTCAGAGCCAGGGTACAAGGGTCATAACCAGGGTACAAGGGTCAGTGCAGGGGACAAAGGATCAGGGCCAGGGTACAATGGATCAGGGGTACAAGGGTCAGGGGTACAAGGGTCAGGGGCAAGGTCAGAACCCCCATCAAGCAGGTCAGGGGCAGGATCAGGACCAGGATACAAGGGTCAGGACCAGGATACAAGGGTCAGGGCCAGGATACAAGGGTCAGTGCAGGGGACAAAGGATCAGGGCCAGAGTACAATGGATCAGGGGTACAAGGGTCAGAGGCAAGGTCAGAACCCCATCAAGCAGGTCAGGGTCAGGGGCAGGATACAAGGGTCAGGGCCAGGGTACAAGGGTCAGGGCCAGGGTACAAGGGTCAGGGCCAGGATACAAGGGTCAGGGCCAGGATACAAGGGTCAACGCCAAGTTACAAGGGTAAGGGGCAGGGTACAAGGGTCAGGACCAGGATACAAGGGTCAGGGGCAGGGTACAAGGGGTCAAGGCCAGAATACAAGGGTCAGGGGCAGGGTACAAGGCTCAGGACCAGGATACAAGGGTCAGGGCCAGGATACAAGGGTAAGGGCCAGGGTACAAGTGTCAGGACCAGGATACAAGGGTCAGAGCCAGGGTACAAGGGTCATTACCAGGATACAAGGGTCAGGGCCAGGATACAAGGGTCAGTGCAGGGAACAATTAAAGGATCAGGGGCAAGGTCAGAACCTCATCAAGCAGGTCAGGGGCAGGGTCAGAGCCAGGGTACAAGGGTCAGGGCCAGGATACAAGGGTCAGGGCCAGGGTACAAGGGTCAGGGCCAGGATACAAGGGTCAGGGCCAGAATACAAGGGTCAGGGCCAGGATACAAGGGTCAGGGCCAGGATACAAGGGTCAGGGGCAGGGTACAAGGGGTCAAGGCCAGGATACAAGGGTCAGGGCCAGGGTACAAGGGGTCAGGGCCAGGATACAAGGGTCAGGGCCAGAATACAAGGGTCAGGGCCAGGATACAAGGGTCAGGTCCAGGATACAAGGGTCAGGGGCAGGGTACAAGGGGTCAAGGCCAGGATACAAGGGTCAGGGCCAGGATACAAGGGTCAGGGCCAGGATACAAGGGTCAGGGGCAGGGTACAAGGGTCAGGACCGGGGTACAATGGGTCAGGGCCGGGGTACAATGGGTCAGGGCCAGGGTACAAGGGTCAGGGCCAGGATACAAGGATCAGGGCCAGGGTACAAGGGTCAGGGCCAGGATACAAGGATCAGGGCCAGGATACAAGGGTCAGGGCCATGGTACAAGGGTCAGGGCCAGGGTACAAAGGGTCAAGGCCAGGATACAAGGGTCAGGGCCAGGGTACAAGGGTCAGGGCCAGAGTACGAGGGTGTGCGGAGGCTTGTCTCCCCCGCCAGACTCCCTCACCGGGTGTGTGTGGATGACCTCTCTCTCCCCACAGGTCACCCCAACAGTCTGGAGTGCCCCGGTGGTGTACACGGGGGGTCAAGGGTCACCTCGTGGACCCTCCTACCTGACCAGATGCCCGCCTCCTCACCGGCCGAGACTGAGCTTAGAGGCACTAGGATGAGCACCTACCTGGTGACTGAGTTTTTGAAAGGCTCTCATAATCATATATATATAAATATATATGCGAACAAGCCTGAATGGTTCAAGCAAGTTTGATAAATATATATATATATATATATATATATATATATATATATATATATATATATATATATATATATATATATATATATATATATATATATCGTACCTAGTAGCCAGAAAGCACTTTTCAGCCTACTATGCAAGGCCCGATTTGCCTAATAAGCCAAGGTTAACAGTGAGATTGATAACTTGTTGGTATGAGGGTGGTTAAGCAACTGTTGCTGAGGACTGAGTGGTTCAGTGCTCTAGGATGACATTCTTCTTACGTCTTCCTCGTGACCTGTCTCAAATTTAAATTTTTAAATTTTGCCCCGAGGGGCGAGTTTATTGAGCAGCGCCACTCATCTTGTGAGTGGACACACCGCCATAGTGACAGTATTGGGCAGCGCCACTCATCTTGTGAGTGGACACACCGCCATAGTGACAGTATTGGGCAGCGCCACTCATCTTGTGAGTGGACACACCGCCATAGCAGCATGTACAACACTCCCCAATTGGAAGAAAACCCGCTGGGTTGTTCATCCTGTCACTTGTACCCAGACACAGCTGGGACTTGCTTAACTGTCTCAAGTGACTCAAGTTCTCTTACGACAAAAGTATGGGTTATCTTGAGATGATTTCGGGGCTTTTAGTGTCCCCGCGGCCCGGTCCTCGACCAGGCCTCCACCCCCAGGAAGCAGCCCGTGACAGCTGACAAACTCCCAGGTACCTATTTACTGCTAGGTAACAGGGGCATTCAGGGTGAAAGAAACTTTGCCCGTTTGTTTCTGCCTCGTGCGGGAATCGAACCCGCGCCACAGAATTACGAGTCCTGCGCGCTATCCACCAGGCTACGAGGCCCCCTCGTAGCTGGATGTGGTTGCCTGGGTGGAGGAAGACAGACAACTGTGGTACAGAAAGTGTGGATGGGTAAGACTCTAACACTCAACCCACATTTTGATTGTTTTTCCCCGCTTAAGGTAGTCGAATGTGATTTCCAGCTCAGCTGTTCTTCAAGAACAATGGCCAAAATCTCGTCAATCCAACCACCTGTCCTCAGGCCAGGCTCGTTAAACCTATTACAGTCACCCAAAAAACATAACTCAATTTTGACGTATTGTGTATTAAAAATAGGTTTTCTCTCATTTATAAAATAATTTTATATATTAAATCTATGTATAGTTAGGTTAGGTGTTTAGGTTCTCTTGCCGATTATTTGGATTTGAAGTACGTGGGTGAAGCATTCAAAGATTCGCAATTCGAACAGAGATCTTCCGCGAAACAATTTTCGAAAATGTTCGAACATCATCTGTTGTGAGCCGTGTAAACTGTTGTTATTCATAAACCGGGAGTTTAATGGCTGGTTTAACGAGTACTTGACATGTGTTGATGAAGACGGAATTATCCACCTACCAAACCCTCTGTTCGTGAATGAAAACAAACACACGACCCACAACTGATTATGTTCGAACAGTGCTTCGCTCACTCCCCCTTGTTCGAATCACACCTTCATTAACGCTTCACTCACGCCCTGCAACTCCAAATAATCGCCCACAGAACCACAACACCGCGCCTCTCCTCCGCCTAACTATACAACCAATATAATAACAATTAACAGCACGTTTGGTTACACAGAACACTGAAATGGACGAAGGCGTCTTTTGGGTCGGTGGCACCTTGGACGAGCACTGCCCGAGGACGGGTCCAGAGGAACACTAGCCCTCAGGACAGTCGTTATGGCTTTCTCGTTAATTATCAAGTGTCCCTCCTAGGTAAATGACTCCCGCATCTGCACCGTCTTGTACAGTAAGTCTGATTAATGTTATGTTGAAATCTGTTGGTTGCAAACCATTTGTGAAGCTCATCTGATAGTTGTTATAAACAACTGTTGTGGACATCTTTTTACAATATTTTCATGACTATTGAAAGGACAGATTCCCGTCGATAATTGGTTTTTGACCGTGACTATTTCTTGTGTATATCTATATAGAGCGGTGATTTTTGCCACCTTGCGTAAGGGACATGCCCTGACGTACTGCAGAGGAATGCT